AAAAGTGGTATATATATAGAGTAGCAGCAAAAATAGCTAAACAAAGATGAGAGACTGAATAACAAACAATGCATGAGTGATTGAATAAATGAATGAATAAATGAATGAATGAATGAATGAATGAATGAGGGACTGAATGAGGGACTGAATGAATAAATGAGTGATTGAATGAGTGAATGAATGAATGAATTTATGTGAGAATAATTTTGTGACAACAACTTTTGAAACAATCACTGAAAGCTCACTGCAGTATTATGCAAATCAAGTTTTTATCAAGTTGTGATGTAGAGAAGAAAGAAGATAGATAAAGAATAAAAGAAACCAGATTGCATAATTGTTGTCTTTATAAGTAACTTATGTGAGTAAAAGCTACCAAAATTTAATTGTAATTACTATTAAATGTAGTATAGTTCAATCTTTTAGCTTTTGATTAGCATCTAATTAAGTATGCAAATTATTTATTCTTAAAGAAATATTGTCTGCTTGACGTACTCAGTAATATAATATATATTTTCAATGCTATTTCTTCTTTTTGAATCAAATATTTAATTCAAAAGCCAATAAAATTTTCAAGCAGAGTACTGCAAGAATAATTGTTTTGCTTGATGTTACATTTTTTTGCTGATTTATTTTTATTTTTTAATATTTACTTCATTTGATTGCATTATTTCGATTAATTGAGTTAATTTTATCTTCGCTAAAAATCATTTGCGTTTTTTGTTTAAAAATTACACTAACACTACGAAATTTTCAACATTTTATTTACAAATTTTAGATATTTAATTTCTGTTTATTTCATTTCCCACTAATTAATTTACAAAAATTAAATTTTAACTAAAATAAAAATGCGTATAGTTTGGTATTGATTGTTAAAATGTTACTAAAGGCTATTAAAATTAAAAGCATTGATGTTGACTTAAAATGCTGTTGAAGTTATACATTAATACTGAATATAATACTAAAATTTGCATAATTAATACAAAAATTCTTGTTTTCTGCTTGCATTCATAGATTTGTTTATGTGAGAAATAACAACGAAGATAGAATATAACGCAACGACTAGTTGAAAGAAACAATTGTTACGTTGTGATGCTGAAAAGTGGAATGAAAAGGCGAAAAGGATAGATTGTATTTCAATCCGTGAAAATTAACTCGTAAACTGATAGATAGAAACCTGTTTAATTTCATCGGTCTGATGGTCATTGCCGATGGTATCAAACAAATCAAAGTACCACTTGTTAATCTGCTTGTGTTGAATCTTATCAAAACGTGAAAGTCTTTTCTCAATACCATTTCATCAAACTTCTTCAATATTCATTTATACAAAAAATTATTATCATTTTTACTTCAAAAATACAGTATTTCTTCTTCATTGAATTGTACAATAACTTGCTTATCACTGCTTTTCATTGTTATCACTACAGTTTTCCCTTGCAGACATTAATAAGCTATAAAATACAATTACAATTAGTATTATTTTCTTTCACATATTGCTTCTATATTTTATTTTCATTTGCTAGTATACTTAATCGTTGCCTTTTTTTAAGTTTTAAAAGCAATACTATAATTCTTTTAATCATTATAATAAATAACAGTAATACAATTAATAGTAACAAACAATAACAATAACTGTAGTTAATGCATTTTACAGCTTTAAGAAGCACAAATCATTGGCTGTGAATCTCGTTTTGATAGCAATTTTTTATGGTGTCATTTTGGGCGAAAGCTATTTTTACTCCTTCGTTTCAGTAGAAAGCTTTATCACATTCGTATTTTCGCCACATTCATCCCACTTTTGCTGTCATGAAGCAATTGTTGTCATTTTCATCTTACCTTTCTTGCAATTTTTTACTTTTTACTCACAGAATACTCCTTCTTCTTCTTTATTCTGATTTTTTTTTATTCATCAAAGCACCTTCATAATCAATCTCGCTTTCTTCCTTTCCTTCCAAATATTACCAACCATTTCTCGTTCAACTACTTACTTTTATAATTAATTTTTTATATTTATTTTTGTTTATATTAAGCATTTTGTTGTTACTATAAAGTGTTATTAAGTTTTCAAATACTTTTTAAGTATAATACACGGATAATACTTAAAAAGTATGCTCTAAAATCTTTGATAAAATTCATTAATAATAAATGATTTTTGGAATTATTCAAATATTTGAAAATTTTTGAAAGAAAAATAACACCCTATATATATTATATTAACATAAATAATAATTAATTACTGGCACTTTTTTAGCATTCAATTTGTTTTACATTTATATTATTCTAAAAAATTTATTAATTTGTTAATTTAATCTGTTTTTATCAGTTTTGTTAATTAGTCTAATCAGTTTGCTCAATAATAATGATGATTTTAATGCTATGTTCAAATTGAATGTGAAATAATAAAAAGTTTTGAGGTTGAGCAGAATTTTTTTACTTTATTCTAATAGAAAGCTTCTATTAATGTTAAGTAAAAAATAGTTTATTGAGTAACAACGAATTGATAGAATTGTATTTATAGCAAAGAAATTTTGAATTTGAAAAATAGTTGTGCTAATCCAAAAATTTCTAGGATATGCCAAAAATGAGTAGTAATAAGTCAATGACTTTTACAATAGCAATGAACAGAATCTGCAACAACGTACCGCCAAGTACCGTTCCAATCGAATCACAACTATTCTACTTGAAATCAGCCACACTACCACTTCTTCCCATCAAATGACACTTGTTTTCTTTGAATTTCTGATATTTTCTTGTTTTCTGTTTTATATACTTTAAAACTTTTTATTTTGTAGCAAAAATTAATTATTATTTATATTATTATTTATTATTATTATTATATATGAAGCAATTGTGCAATACCTTCTACCCTTTAACCTTTCCCAAAGGTCACTTATTTGAAGCGACTTTTTTGCATTTTAAAATTACAAATTTATCACTACTTTCATCATTTTCTGCATGAAAAAAAAAACAATATATTTAATTGCATTAATGACACTGAAGTTCAAGTTCATTACCACAATATTTTCAGTTTGACATCACATTTTAACAAATAAAAACTGCTAAAATTCTATTTCATTCCATTAGTAAACATAATTTGCAGATATCTTCTGACTTTAAATATTCTCTTTGTTTTTAGTATAAAATTCAGTAGCACTAACAGTACGTTTTAAGACTCACTTATATTCTTTTTTCTTGCATGAAGTAATATTTATAATTTCGGTAATAAAAAGAATAAAAATGCAACAACAAATCATTAATAACATCTATATAAATAATAATAATAATAATAATAAATAGATAAATAAGCAAACAAATAATAATTAATAATAATAAATAGTAAAAATAATACTAAATTATAATACTAATAGTAATATCTCGTTTTTGTTACGCCATCATAACTTACTTTATAACAATTTCCTTCTCTTTCATTCTTCCTTTGTTCAATCAGAAAATTTCAAAGGCGTTTAGATCCGCTTTACGATGAGCAGAACTTGTTTGCATGCATTGCCCGGGGAGTAATGCTTTACTTCTTATCCACTAAAAGTTACTATCTATCAAATGGCCGTTGGTACTATCATTATTTATTATTATTATTATTTATTATTATTATTATCAATATTTTATTATTATCATTATTACTATTATTTTATCATTATTATTATCGTTAACAATGTCACTTGAAATCAAGAGTAACGACAATCATTATATGATAATTAACTAATGACTGACTAATTTTTATCTGTTTCTTGCTATTTTTTACATTCTTAACTTGAAAGTTTTCCTTTTTCTTCAGTTTTAGTTTCCTTTTCTCCTTCAACATTTGGCAATTATTGTGTGCCTATTAACTAATCTTTCTTCTTTTTAAATATTGCTAAGAAAAATGCGAAAATGCTGCGGTCATTTGCTAAACTTGACCTCATTTCATCTACGCAACTTTGATTTCAACAGAATTATGACAGCTCAGAAAAGTAACTGTAAATATGATTTGGCTTAATTGTCGTTAATAGATAAAACAAGTATAACTTTGGGGGATTTCAATTATCACAATGCTGATAAATTAGCAAACTGTTGATCAGCATATACCTTATGAACTAAAAATATACAGTTGACAGTAACCAAAATCGTATATTTGACAAAGACTAAAATATTGCCAAAATGGTAATTATAGGCACAAACAGTTTGGTACTAAGAAACTGAATATCTCAAACGATTGAGTACTTTCCTTCCCGATTCATACCATTCTTAAAATTATTGTAAAATGTGAAGTATGAGCATTTTTTCTACCTATCGCATGCAATTTTTTAAACGGTACCATTACAATCGTTTTTTGCATAATAAAGCACATTTGATTCAATATTTAACCTTATTACAGGTAGCAGTTCCATATTTGAAACTCTGTACAACCGACAAATGGCAACAGGTATAGTAATTACAGTTTATTATTTTATAAAATTAACTTTGAAATTAGCCATCGGTAAATGAGAGTTGTTTATGTTTGCAAAGTATTTTTATTACTGCAAAAGTACAGAAATGAGCATTTTTCTAATTTACTAAATAAGCATAATTAAATTTCTCAAGATGTAATTATTCATAAAATTCTAAAAATATATGCAAGATAATCTGAATATGCATTGTCAAAAAATATCGCAAAAAAAGTATAATTTGTGCACTACTGGTTACCCTTGAAAAATCTTAAGATTGCTTATTATTAAATTAATAAATTTTTCTTAAAAATAAAATTTCAGTGAATACTTGACATTTGTCGGTTTGAATAGAATTCATCAAGAAAAAATATCACTGAAAGCAAGAAGGTAAAAAAATAAAGCAAATTGGAATTAAACTTATCTCGGGGTAAAAATATCATTTACCTTTGACCCTTGCATGATAATTTTTATTAATGTCTCGGTGGGTGAAAATTTTTACTGGAATAAAATCAGTAAAGTTTGCCGAAAATTTGTGCAACAACTACACAAACTTCGAGAGTTTTGATTTCGGAAGATATAATGGAACAGGATGGAGCAACAGAAAACACATCTCATGCTGGTATACCTCAAGATATCTCTGAGAAATCTCAAAATTCCAATTTGAAAACAAGCAAAGATATGGTCATTCCGGGAAATGCCCCGACTGTTATTTTCTCAACCACCGCTGGAGTATCTACAAATACTTGCAATGAAATTGGCAACTCATCTTCATCGTCTAGTGCTACTGGCTCTCCTACCAATGATTACGGTCATCGGAATTACAGTAAATACTTGCAACTTTATCAGAATTATGATGCATTGTCAAAAAAAGTTCAAACTTAACTTACGATATTCAATTGAGATCATGAATTCTTTGTATTATAATGATTACAGTGATGCTGAAGATATTAAAAGCATTAAAATTTAAAATCCATTATTGTAAAATTTGTGAATCAAAATTTTTAAATTTCAGGTGCTTCATCAACACGAAACAAAAATAGCAATAAAAGTAGTAGTAACGATGATAAGGCTAATAATATTATTGAAAATATCAATAATAACAATAATACAACGAATATCACATCTGAAAGCATTAATCAAGAATGGGATTGGACAAGTATGTCAGAGCACAATTTTGCTGAACTCTGTGTATTTCATGTTCCTGATAAGCCATTAGAACACCAAGTAAGTAATTATTAATACCTAAAGTATTATAAAATTATTCTCTCACTACTGAAATACTGCTTGTAGAAAACGTGATTTATCATTTAATCTCTATAATTTTGTTTTCAACTGCACTTTGACCTTAAATGTCAAGTAATACTTTTTTTATTTGCTTTTATCACAAACCGAAAAAAAGAAAAGATAAATTAAAAGAAATAGATTAATTGTGTAATGACATTTGTGAATATATTTAGATTTTCATGTAAACACAAAATTAAATTTGCTCTTTTCGGTAAAACTTGATGGATTGATCTTAATCAGTTAATCTAATTGTAATCAATGTCTATCTATCAGTTGGTCATGTCATACTTTTATTTGAGTTTTAGGATCCAAACAATCGAGCCGCAACTTCACTGCCATTAAACTTGACCATAAGATCTTCTCATGTTATGCCCAAAGTAATTCACTTTTTTCTTTTATCACTTTTTTAAATTTCATTAAAGAAGAATTACTGTAAAGTTTGTCGCATCTAAATAATCATTCAATACAGTACTACTGTCATATCATCAAATATATCAGATATGTATCTTTTTTACTCTTTGTCAAATTAATCATTCAATTATTTAAATTTGGTTGTTTTTTTATTCAGACTTACTCTTAAACTAAAAGCAAATAAAGAATTTACATTTTTCAATTCATAACTATGAATAAGACTGAAAGAATAACTTAAATTTATAATAAAAATATGAATAGGCTATGGGTGTATGGAGTATGGATTATATTCCACGTGGTGCGCGTTTTGGACCCTTAGTTGGAGAATATCGGAAGCCAGATATTACAGAAACTACAATGTCACCAGCAGAAGCTAGCAGTGCTGGTGGCTCTTCCAATCACACACATTGTGTTATTTCATCAGAAGCCTCAAAGAGAAGAGAAGAAATAAGGCAATCAACTTTAGATTCCATTTGGAAAGTTTTTAGTAGTAGTGGAAGTATTCTAATTCGTTTATTAGATGTAAGTCAAAATCGAAGAAGTAATTGGATGAAATTTGTCAACCGTGCTCGCACCAAAGATTCTCAAAATTTGGTCGCTTGTCAGGTTTTTTTTATACTGTTATAAAAAAGAACTTTAAATAAGCTACTAATAATTTCTAATAGAATAATAATTAAATATTAACTAGTAAATTTTGCAACTTGCAAAAATTTGAATTTACTTTAGCAAATGAAAAATGCAAAGCATTTCCATCATGAATTACTAAAATAATTTTAATTTTTTATATTTTGCAATAAAAATAATTGCATAATTTCTATTCTTAATGCGAAACTTTTGAAAATTTTCAAAAATACTATCACTGCTTGAATTTTTTGTCTTTTAAAAAGTGAGATTTTCTTCTCATGAGTGAATATTGTCTGTCATTATTTAAACCAAAACAACTTCAGGTAGAAAGTGAAATTTATTTCTACTCTGTAAAACCAATCAAACCAAATACAGAATTACTTTATTGGTACAGTCAGGATTATGCAAAACGTATCAATTTTCCAGCAATTTGCGAATACTGGAAAATTCCCTTATCAAAAGGTTATATTTGTAATAATTTATTAGAAAAATCTAATTTTTGTTTAAAATTAAAAAAAAAAAAAAACTTCATTCAACAAGCATTTGAATTTCTATAAAGCTGTATTTCATGACATTATGCATTATGCAAATATTTGCTCTCTTCTAAAAACTGATTGAAAATGAATATCGAAAATTATTTTGAGTTATATTTAATACTGCGTGATAATATTCAATTACTAAATCTTAAGATCAAAAAAGAATTCAATAAATCTTCCATTCTTTTTCAAATATTAATATTTCTCATTCCACTATTAATAAGTAATCTCATACATATATGAATGATTTTGGAGAATTTTTAACGGTAAATTTTTTATGAAAAAATAATAATTAAAAATTTTACTAAAGTTTTAGCACATCCAGAATCAGTGACAAATACTCTAGCGAGTAGTAAAAAGTTTGGTAAAAATACATCACCTCAACGGCAACAACTTTCGTCGCCACATGAAGCGCTTGATTTTTCGATTAAAAAAGTGACGCAAGTAAGTAAAAAATGCCCGCGTTTTTTTAAAACAATTACAAAAAAGTTTTAAAAAAGGTTGTGCAAATTAAAATAAAGTGAAATAAGTGTTTTTTATACTAAATGAAAGTAATGAGTAGATTTTAATTAGAAATAAAATAGTATAACTTAAGTATTACTTACACTTGTACATTTTCATAATTCGAAAATGCAAAGGTTTTTCTCTCACAGCCTGTCAAATTTACAAAAGAAACTATATAAAAGCTTAATTAAAAGTTAGATTTTAGCAGGGGGAATCAAGTCTGGGCACTTCAACTACTGCACCAAAGCGATCAAGAGATGTTCACTCACCTTTCACGTCATCAACTAGTAGTGATTTAACGCAATTATTGAGCGATGATTGCGAATCTAGCATTAATTCTACGTCTACAATGTGAGATTTTTCTAATTTTTAATTTCAAATTTAATATTTTGCCTTAAATTATAATTGCTATTTTTGAAATATAAAATAAAATTTTCTGTTGAAAAAAGAAGAATATTGCTTCAAAACTTTTAAGACTTGTAATATATTTCAGTGAAAGATACTTGAAAGAATGTACATGAAACTTTAAAATACAAAATAAAAAATAAAAAAAATTTAATTAAAAAACTGATTTAGGTCATCTCCAACTTCTCCTCCTGCTACTACAGAAGAGCAGCAACTACAGGTTACGCGACCGAATGTAATTCAAAATCCAGTACATCGTCCAGTTGCAACAAAAATTCCTCAAACTGCGGTACCACAAGTACCAACTGGTTTACCACAATTGCAACCAAGCACAATGAATCCATATAATACATTACTACATGAATTTTGGAGACGTAGTTCAGCATTGAGTGTTACAACAGGTGGAATTTGGGTACCCCCACAACCAAATCATGGAGTTGCAGCTACACCTCATGTAACTCGACCATGTTCTCCTGGACGACCACCTGCATGTTCACCTGCACCCGCCTTTGCTGCTACCGCTAGTCCACCTTTTGGTAGTACTTTTGCTAGTACACTTTACTCTTCAACAACTCCTACCAAAGCGTCATTTTTTGCTGCTCAACCACAGCCTATGATACCTCTTAGCATTCCACCACCGCCATTAGCAACATCTCCAACAGCTTTTCAAGCTGCATCAAGTAACTCACCATATTTACGCAGTGGTCAATCGTATCCAGTTCAAAAGGTAAAACAAAAAAAACTATTTCTAATCTATAACTATAGTCATTAAGCATCGTTAAGTTTTTATTATTTTTAAATTAAAATTAAATGTCAACCGAAATATAAAATTATTAATGAAGGCATTTAATTTGAATACAAAACATTTTTGAAACAAGAAAACAAATTTTATGGTTGTTTTGTGTATAAAATTGTAGAAATGTTGAAAAATTTTTTATTCGAATTTAAATAAAATAATAAAAAGTATAATTTTAGTCTCAAGTAAATGGCAAAACACGTTATGAATGCAAAGAATGTAGCAAAACTTTTGGACAGTTATCAAATTTAAAAGTGCATTTACGAACTCATACCGGTGAACGGCCGTTTAAATGTAATGTTTGCTTCAAAGAGTTCACTCAGCTAGCTCACTTACAAAAGCATCACCTAGTCCACACTGGTTAGTTCAATCTTGCCCCTCACATCAGTCTTGACCTCAATACCAATGCAAGTAAAATTTTTTTGCTCTAAGAATTATCTACACTTTTTTATTATACATATGAATAAAATTTTATTGCTTTTTTTCAATTAAAAAAATTTATTTAAAGTTTTTTAAATTCTCTTTTTATTAACTGATAAATTTGGTACTTTTCTTTTATTCCAATAAGAATAAAGAGTAAATATTACTTAAAAATCAAATTTAAACTGTTCATTCTGTTGCATTTTTGTTAAGTAATAGCAAGTTTATACATACTGCTATTAGTATGCTTTCAGTACTGTACACAAAATGTTGCTATCAATCTTTGCACTGTATATTTAATCGATCATTTTCTGATTTTCTTTTAAATTGAACATTGCTTCAATACACGTAACCAGTCAAATACTTAATTTTAATTCTTAACACTTTTTTTACTTTTAATTTTCTTTATTATTTTAAAACTAATTTGATAAGCATCAGAATTTATCATATTACTATCTGAGTAGAAATTGAAAGTAAATAATTATCAGGAGAGAAGCCTCATCAATGCGAAGTATGTCAAAAACGCTTTAGCAGTACGTCAAATCTGAAAACGCATTTACGCCTTCATAATGGTCAAAAACCATATTCATGTGACTTGTGCAGTGCTAAATTCACACAATTTGTACATCTGAAACTTCATAAGCGTTTGCACACCAATGAACGCCCATATAATTGTTCATGCTGCGGTATATTTTGCAAATAATATAATTAAATTAAATTAAATTATTTTTTATTATCAATTAATTACTTTTACTGCATTGCATACAATAAATACTTTATATGGATAAAATTTTTAAAGCTGTTTTTTACATATGACTAAATACTAAACATTTTTTAAGCGTAATTAAATTAAAATAATTGTTATTGCCAAATTAATTTGTTATTAAGCATAACAAAAGTGATTTGCTATTATTCAAAATTATTCAACACTACAAATATTATCAGTGTTGTGTAAAGAATATGACTAAAAAGTGAATCAAAGTTTTGAATTTGAGATGGCAATTTTATCTTTGAGAAGTTGTTCAGTAATTTATAAGAAATTTGTCTGTCTGATTCAATTTAACCTTTCTAAAAGATTTGTCAGTAATGTAATGAATGACTTTATAGTTTTTTTCTTCGTTTCTCTCTTTTTTTTTGAATATTTTTGCTGATATTTTTTGCAATGTTTTGTAGGAAAGAAATACATATCTCCATCAGGTTTACGAACTCACTGGAAATCAACAATTTGTCGACCTACGAATGGTACTGAGCTGCACATAATTGACCTGGATGGAGATGAAAGTAGTGGGACAGTCCGAGACGAACATTGTGTCACCAGTACAACACCCATACCGCGGTAAATGGCTGAACAATTTGTGAAGTATCAAAGAGAATCAGCGGAAATTTCTGGTAATTTCATGCAGTGATAATTATCCGGGTAATGGTAAAGGCTAGAAACCTTTGACCCTGATATGTCATTTTATTGCACACGTATCTTTTATATCTTTAATATAATTTGTTCTTTCAGATACTTATTTTAATACTTTTTTTGCAACTTTTATTAATTTTTTGTAATTTCATATTTTTCTATTTAATAATTTTTGTAAAAATAAACCAAAGAAAAGTGTCAATTTTATATTGTCTACATTGTGTGTGTTTAGGAGTTCCTAATTTGATACAGAAGTTTACAACATTTTTTAGCATTAAATAGAAAACGTAATTTAATGTGTACAAAAATTGTTCATAACTGTAACAAAATAAAATTTGTTATTTCATTTTATTGGCAAAAAAAATGAATTGAAAGTGAACAAATTACTATTATCATTATTATTTGACCTTTCTATGAAATTGAATGGATTGAACTTCTGTAACAACTTCAAGGGGCAAATGCCTTATTCTTGCATGCGTGATCTCCTGTTTCACACCTTCAATAGTTCAATCATATTTGTTTTTCTGTTGTATATTGTTTATTTTTTCAAATACGAAAACAGAGTTATTTTTACTATTTTTTTGTATTATAAATTTACTACAATGCGTTTTGAGGCGCATTTTAATTAATTTGAAAATGTTTGATCTATTATAGTATACATAAAAACTGTTATAAATTAATTGCATCAAAGTAATAATTACTTTTGAGTATGAAATGTCTTAGTAGAATTTATGCAAGTTTGTTAAGTTTTGAAAGGTAATATGCTAATATCTTTCATTTTTAGCCTTTTTGCTAGACTTTTATTTGAATTTTTTCAATTCAGTTCAGTTCAGTTCAGTTCACTTATTTGATATTATTACTTATTATTTTTCTCACAGGTTTTTGTTAATTACTTACTGCTATTTTTGCTTTTATACCATCAAAACAACCCATGTTGTCTTTCTCGCGTTCATTACTTCTTTTCTCGAATCATTTGGTTTACTTGCTGTATTATCAGTGTTATATGAAGAATAATACTAAAAAGCATATTAAAGTTCTGAACTCAAGATGACAATTTTATCTTTGTAAAATAACTTCCAAATTAAGCTTCAACAATTAGACATTACTTGCTTGATTATTTTCAAAATATGTCTTTTTTTGATTCAGATTTAATGACTGTATTTTTTTATATTTGAATTTTTGCTATATTATATACAGCTAATTGCAGAGTATAAGGTAAAAAAATTGTACACAATTATACACATAGTAGTTTAGTAAATATTTATTGTTGAATTTTAGGAGCAGTAATGTTTGGTACAAAAAATTAAACTCATAATGATATTTTAACAAAAAGTAATAATACAATTTGATTTATTTAAAAATGTAAATCTACTTGCTTTGTTACTTATTATTCAATACAATGTATGAAACAGTCTTAGTTTGAATTTTGTATAAATTAAGCGTAAAAGTTTACGTAAATTCTTAATTGCTTTTCATATTCTCAGCAAGAAATTTCATTCCTTTCTTCGCTACAAAATTTATGCAAATAGAATAATTTACATTTTCGTGACTTAAAATGGCAGAATTTGCGTTGTATTTTGTTTTTTTTTAGTTTTCTTTGCACTTATTTTCAAAATTGCATTTACTTTTACTGAATATTTTCTGTCTTTACTTTAATTTCATGCCAGTTTTTAAGTACCAAACATTCAATAATTTAGCATAAGCATCCAGTGAAATTCAGTTTTCTTACCTCACATTTGTTATTTTCAAATTTGAACAAAAAACTGTAATCATTCTTTTGCATTATTCAAATAGTAAAAATAAAAATTGCGACCAACTATTGATAAAATAAATTCATGCATTCATTCAGTAATTAATCTATGCACAGAATTCTGTGCTAGCAGAAAATTTAGTGCATTTTTAGTACTCAATTTAGAATATAAAATACAAATAAACTTGATAAAACTTAAATTCACATCAATTTTAGCAAAATCTTTGCTAATATACACATATATACACTGCTAAACTTGCGCATAAGTGCAACACACATGGACCTACATGTATATATATATTATATGTATATATTCAAACTTGCATTTTTATACAATTACAATTAATGATCATATAGGTTATAACAGGTAGAAAGTACGCTTATAAATAATGGCACGTAAAATTACGATGCAAACGAGTATGATCTATAATTATTAATCAACAAATGAATTATCTTAAGGAGAATAAAAATTTATCAAATATTGGTAATAAAATAATAATAAATGCTGGAAACAAAGTTTAAAACTTTTAATATATATGTGCAGAAAAATTATCTGATCAGAAAATGAAAATAAATCATCAGATCAGAGATATTTATAAGAACAGAAAAATTATTTAATATTAAAAATGCAAAATACTAATAACTTTCAGTTTCATTTACAATATTCATTATTTTATTATGTATTAAATGTGAAGTAGAAAATATTCCAAAATTATCAACAAATTTTTAATGGACATGCAAAATGACCCATTTCGAGAGTGATAGCAAATATGCAAAATGCAACGTATGAAATAATCATAATAACACCAAATAATTTATTCATTTTCCAATGTGAAAATGCAATAGATAAAACAAGCACTACTAGCATCACAAATAGCATTCCAACGCTGCATATCAAGCCATTACTGAAATTATAAAATGATAAGCTGTAAATATTTGATAATCAGTTAGCAAAATTTTGATTTGAAACTTCTAAGAAAATAAGTAGCATAATTATTTAAATTTAGCTGACAATAAACTGCTAACATTTAT